TCTTCCTTTTTAAGTGTTTTGTTTGGATAGCCCCTGGCCCGTAACCTCATCCTTAGATTCTGAGCCTCCCTTTCAAAGTCAATGTCCATAGTGCAGTTCCTTCTGATCCTTAAATACTGGCCATATGGGATACTGTTCTTCAAATTTTGTGGGTGGGCACTGCTAGCTTCGAGGATGGCATTACCTGCCGTATCTTTCCTATATAGGCTGGTATAGAGGACCCCTTTCGCATTCTTGCATATTAAGATGTCTAAAAAGGGTAGCCTATCACCATCAAAGGTTAGCGTAAATCTCAAATTGAAATCATTAAAATTTAAGATGTCCACAAAATCCCTTAATAGATCCGCACCTCCTGTCCATAGTACTAGGATATCATCTATGTACCTGTGCCACGCTAAAACATGGCACAGGTACATAGACAAGTCCTCCCTGCCCAACAAGTCCTGTTCCCAGCCTCCTAAATAAAGGTTAGCGTAGGAGGGTGCGCACTTTGTCCCCATGGCCGTTCCTTGCTTTTGGGGTGATAACCCTGCGTCTCGGACAGCGGTGGGAGTCTAAGTTTACCAATGAAATAGATCCCATTCAGTGACATTGTTTCATAAGGATACTCTCTTTCCATAAACAACTACATGCATGTATCGTTGTGGGATCTAACCAGGATTACTTTTTACCGGCTGCGTACAATGTGAGTACAGCTCCGTTTTTCTATTTGGGTGATATATCTCCTTTTTTTACTCACATCAGAGACTTCCTACCCCATAGGAGATTCAAATGTTCAATACCCGTATCTTTACATTCAGGTGATTCTAGGGAAGCATTTTAATTGGTTTTAAATGTCTTGTTATAGGTGTCTTTATATATATTAGCATCATTAAACTTTGTTATATTATATTACGCATTGTGATCCATTTATCAGACCATCTCCACTTTTAGGGATTTCTTGTTTAAAGGGGATTGTACTTTTTTTGAATTAAGTATTGGGAAAGGTCTTTTAGGATATGAAGTGCTGAGAACAGGTCTATAGAGCAGCTGCCCCTGCAGATTTGGGTGGGTAATTCCATTTCACTCAAATTACTTGGGAAAGTGAACTTACCCTTTAATGCACATTGTGCGTGTTCGAGAGTGCTGCCACTTGGCAACCACAATATAGCACTCAGTAGAATGGCGGGAAGGACTCAGGGCGCACAAGGCAGGGTTGGTTTCAATTTTTTATTTAGGTTATCATTTTAATAACGTTATCACTTTTTTCAGAGAGTGGTGACTGACAGTCACGGCTCTCTGCAGGGAGATGATTGGGCACAGTATGAGCACAGTATGTGTTCACTCACTTCCCGATCTAATGAGCCGACCTGTTATAGTTTCATTGTCACACGTCGGCTCCAACTATGAGGATGAGTGAAATTCACTCACCTCATAGTTTTCCTTTAAGTGTTAGGAGCTCGCTTTAGTATTACGTATTCATGTAGGTGAGGCTTAATGTGATATTAATGTCAAAAGGATTTTAAACAAATTTCAAATTTTGATGAAATCCCTTACAATGGATGCTGCTTCTTGATGTTTAAAAGTTTTAGTTTCCTGCAGAATCAGGTGTTCCCCTGAGCACTGGCCCTGATATCCTGTTTTAGACTGACTCCTTTCTCAAGCAGAGTGCTATGCATTAGGGCTGCAAGCAACTAAACGATGAGAATAGTTGTCAACTATTCTCATTATCGATTAGTTGGTTGGACCCCTAGCTCTCTCCTCCACGCTGGGAGGAGGGCACAGTGGGCGGGTACAATAGCCAGACTGCTATTGCAATTTAAAATGGCAGATAGCAGGCTGGCTATTGCATGAGCCCACTACCTGCTGTATTTATATTCAGTTGCCCTCTGCGGAATATTGCCACTGCCAGCTGTCATTTCTGGGTGAAGCTATTCAAGCGCCATGTGCTTACAATACAATTTTTTTTTTTTAAACATACAAAAGGTGGGAAAAAGGTTTCAGCCTGAAAATCTGCTGCAAGAGGTGCGTTGCAGTGCCATTCATTTCAATGGCACCCCAAAAGCGCCTCTCACCCACAGTGTGATCACCTGCACTGAAACACAGAGTACCGCAATGCTGTGCATTCCAGTGCAGTCTGATTGCAAAAAATAGTGCATGCAGTATTATTCTGAAGTACATTTTGTTTGTAACACTGCATTTATGTATTTTATTTTAAATTAAGGATGGTATTTTTTTATGTCTTATTTGATAAATCTAAAAAATAATCGTCCAACTAATCAATTAGGAAAATAATCAATAGTTGCAGCCCCACTATGCAGTCACCCTTGTGCTCCAAGATGGAGACTCTCATAGTTTAGAGTTAGGACCGCACTATAAGAGGTGCCTTGGCGCGGCAGTGCGGCTTTCACATCCTCTGCAGAAGACGTGTATCCAAACCTCTGTTATTATCCTTAGTGGTGAGACAAGTTGTTTTACATGCTGACTTGTGAGTGTGCCATGATACCTTTCTACTGTCTACAAACAGACAGACACAGCAAATCAAGCGGATTCCCTCCCCCCTGCCAATATAGTGACATTTCCATGACTTACTTGCAGCACTTTCATATACTTTTGGATTGGATCCCTTCCGTAAAAATTCAATAGCAATTCTGCCAAACTCTCCAACCACTGTAACAATCAATACACATGTATTAGGATGCTTTATAGATGTATATAAACAAGCAAAAGTCTTATAGCTCCCCATGAGCAATCTCACATTCCAAATGTTGGTAGTAGGGATGCACATATACCAGTTCAGATACTTGGCATTTTCACGAGAACTACCAGATACCAGGGTTACAGCTGCCACTGGGCCCCACCACTGTCCTGAAATCATTAGTCTGTATTGTTTTAGAAAAACTGTCACATGACAATAAACAAAAATGTATCAATAATTGTACCTGTGAGGACAAGTATCGGTACTTGTAATTGGTCTGGAAAAACGGTATTGGTGCATCCCTAATATAAATCTCAAATCATACATGAAAACAGTGATGCACATATCCCAGTATAGTCTTTCAATGGAGCTGGAAAAGTATCTGTACTTGTACCAAGTACGGTGCTTGGTATCTGAACATCCCTAGTTGGGGGTTATTATTGCCTCCAATTGCACCAGTGCTGGGGGTTATTATTACCCCCAATGGCACCAGTGCTGGGGGTTATGATTGCCTCCAATGGCACCAGTGCTGGGGGTTATTATTGCCTCCAATGGCACCAGTGCTGGGGGTTATTATTGCGTCCAATGACACCAGAGCTGGGGGTTATTATTGCGTCCAATGACACCAGAGCTGGGGGTTATTATTGCGTCCAATGACACCAGAGCTGGGGGTTATTATCGCATCCAATGACAACAATGCTGAGGGTTATTATTGTATCCAACGACACCAATGCTATATGCAGTGTATTTTCAATCTCCCTTCTAATTAATTTCAAAGGTTGGGTGGAAGCCCGCAGTACACAGAGCACAGGCAGCTCAGACTCAGCACTGCTGTCATCCTTATCCCCGGCTTTTTACAGCAGGAGCCCACCCAGCATTCTGTTCAGCACCTCGCCGGTCATGTGACTAACCTGAGCTCTCCACTTGTGTGAGGATCCGCAGATGTTCGCGGTGTTCGTCACTTAAAACCAGCAACATGATGACCAACCCAAGACTAACAGAACAGCTAGGCAGCCGCTGTCATCACATGACTTGAGTGGTGTGTGCGCTGCGGTGAACACTCCGGCTGGAAACAGTGCTCACACTTATTCATTCCGTTTACAATCCCTCCCTATTAGCCGTGACTGCGGACATCACCGCCATCTAGTGGTGGAGCACTGAAATCCACAGAAATGGATCACGTCACTTCTATGGTAGCACTACTGTGCAGAATGTATGCAGTGATCCCAGATGTAAAAACAAAAACTTCAATATGTAGAACAGACTCATCTAGAAAGATCAGTGAGTGTATGTATGATTAATGTGGGCAAGCATAGGAAGGCTGCATTTTTATAAACAGAACCCCACAAATGCATGGATGAAAATATCTGCACCATTGCATATAATGCAGCTTTCCTTAAAATAATACCTAGTGCTCCTGCCATGAAGGCCGCAGTTTAGGCACTTCCTGCTAAGGGGGGGCAACAATGATAACACTTTCCTCCCAGCTGTGCTTCTGCATCGCAAAAGCTTCCAATGGAGACTACAAGTGGCTATATCAACACACATTACGCAGTCATGATCCACTGTTGTCACCACCAGGAAACCCACCTGAGAAATGTCATTCATCAATCGCTTGAGTGCATTCATGTGGACAGGAAGTGTCTGTAAATAGGATGAAGGAGTACTGAGAATTAAAAAAAAAAGGTTTCATAAAATCAAAAACAAAACAATTGTTTACAATACACGCTTCTTTAAATGTCATTATGTTAGAGTTTAAGTCTACATTAATAGCGATGGTTTGAATGGTTGTTCCATAAATAATAGCCTTTGTTTTCTACCAAGTTGCTCATTCAGATAATACACAACAGTACCAGAATAATATGAAATGTAAACTTCTAAGTACATTTGATTATTTTACAAACAATATTTGTCTTAAAACTTGGAAGGTTACATTTCATATGATATCATTTGATTATTTTAAAGTGACACTAAACCCAGTAATTAATTCTTAAAAATGCATTCAAGTATCCTAACTAATAAGAATGTATCTTATTTGTGTATGACTCGGCTGTGGATCCTCAAATCATCTCTGAATTGGTGCTGACACTGTCCTTCCTTCTGGAGGGTGACTACTTTTGTTCCCCATGGTCCCTCTGTGTGTTGTAAAGTAGCCACCACTCCAAGCTCGCTCCCAGGATGGACTAAAATCTCAATACAAATTAAACTAACCATGAGATTGTAGTCCATCACAGGAGCGAGCTTGGAGCGGTGGCTTCTTTCTATAAAGGATATCGATAAGATTTTGGATTAGATGTTTAGTTATCAAAGTAGAAATAGGACCTGCATAAGTGAGAAAGAATAAGGAATATAAATGCCTATTGGAGGAGTGGGAGATAAGGATAAGAAGTAGGGATAGGAAAAGAGGTGAGTGCACAGTGGGGGAAGTAGAATGGATTAATTGAGCAGGTACACCTAGACACACATAGGATTCCAGATATGAAGATAATAACAAGCACATGACAGAATAGGATTACAAATGGTTAGAGAAGGAAACTAGATTAGAAGAAAGTGATTCGTTTACACTGGGAATTTGCTAAGAACTATACAAGTACAAGCATGCATATGTACTCAGCACTTGGTTTGGGCCCCTTTTGCAGCACTTACTGCAATTACTTTTGCACGATATTCTAATTATTCGAGTTTCACCTGTATATATGATAGGATAGACACTAGAGAAATAGGGATAGAAATATAAGATAAGCAGAGGGAGGTCCGAGGACACAGAGGTGAGGATAGAGGTTTAATGACATAGGGATATGAGGGTTTTCCTCCTACTCCTCCAAGGGAAGCTGTGAAAGAAAGGAACGAATGGAAGGAATATGGATGTAACTGGGGGAGAATTAATGAGCGAGGCAGGAAAGGTATATGTTGGGTTTTTTTAATATGGTCGTATGTAATATTTAAATTCCTTTTATATAGAATGAAATATGTAAATTGTATGAAATTAAAGAGTAATAAAAACATTAAACAAAAAAAAAATAGAAAAAACTTTTTTTGGTGTGTCATTTTAAATAAAACATTGTTCTGTATTATATTATAATCTTATGAACAGCAGGAACAGACAGCAAAACAAATGTGACCTTCCCTATGCTATCCAAAACTAAATAATGTTTTTTTTGGCTGGAGTTACACTTAAAAAATTGACCTGTTCCGACTTACATACAAATTCAACTTAAGTACAAACCTAAAGTCCCTATCTTGTATGTAACCCGGGGACTGCCTGTATACACTTTAGCTATTTAGACACACCTCAGCCACGGCTGTTTAATTGCTGCAATATATATAATAGTTAGCTTTCTGAACGGATACGCACTGACTATGACCACTAGATTAATAACGACTCAGTCCAAAATATCCCCAACTCCCTACACTACTGGCCAGTAGTAATACTTTAGGCTAGCCAATGTTGGGGCCCAGACTTTGTTGCAGGTACCAGTTAAATCCAGAAATAAGAGGTGGCCCTCTGCCCTTTCACCACTCCTGTAGTAGGCGTGCATGGATGGCGATTTCCCCCTCCTTGACTGGCTGCTTGGACTCTTCTGATGAAGTGTGTGACGCAAAGATTCTCATTGGGGTTAAGGTCTGGACTCTGTGGTGGCCAATCCATGTGTGAAAAATTATATCTCATGCTCCCTGAACCACTCTTTCACAATTTGAGCCCCATTAATCCTGGCATTGTCATCTTGGAATATGCCCAATGTGCCATCAGGGAAGAAAAAATCAATTGATGGAAAAACATGGTCATTTACTATATTCAGTTAGGCAGCTGACCTCATTGTTTGGGCACATTATGTTGCTGAACCTAGACTAACCTAGACTAATTATCCAATAGAAGGCTCTTACCTATTTGCTTAGCTAAATCCAGGTGGTGATTTTTTTTCTGGCCAGGCAGTGTATATAATTATAAAAGAAAAAAAAATGTGCATTTATTATTTTTTTGCATTGCAGCTGCAATCAGTGGATCAAGGGTGCAGTGCTTTGGCTCCTGCAGATTCATGCAGGTATTGCAGGGATTTTGGCTCCTGCAGATTCATGCAGGTATTATAACAAAGTGGAAGCAACTGGGAACAACAGCAACTCAGCCACGAAGTGGTAGGCCACGTAAAATGACAGAGCGGGGTCAGCGCATGCTGAAGCGCACAGTGCGTAGAAGTCGCCAACTGTCTGCAGAGTCAATAGCTACAGACCTCCAAATTTCATGTGGCCTTCAGATTGGCACAACAACAGTGCGTAGAGAGCTTCATGGAATGGGTTTCCATGGAGGAGCAGCTGCATCCAAGCTTTACATCACCAAGTGCGATGCAAGCGTAGGCTGCAGTGGTGTAAAGCACGCCGCCACTGGACTCTAGAGAAGTGGAGACGTGGTGACGAATCATGCTTCTCTGTCTGATGGACGTGTCTGGGTTTGGTGGTTGCCTGGAGAATGGTATTTTCCTGACTGCCATGTGCCAAGTGCAAAGTTTGGTGGAGGGGGGATTATGGTGTGGGCTTGTTTTTCAGAGGTTGGGCTTGGCCCCTTAGTTCCAGTGAAGGGAACTCTTAAGGCATCAGCATACCAACACATTTTGGACAATTTCATGCTCCCAGCTCTGTGGGAACAGTTTGGGGATGGCATCTTCCTGTTCCAACATGACTGCTCATCCATAAAGACATGGATGAGCAAATTTGGGGTGGAGGAACTTGACTGGCCTGCACAGATTCCTGACCTCAACCCGATAGAACACCTTTGGGATGAATTAATGAATTAGTGTGGTGACTGCGAGCCCGGCCTTCTCATCCAACATCAGTACCTGACCTCACAAATGCGCTTCTGGAAGAATGGTCAAACATTCCCATAGACACACTCCTAAACCTTGTGGACGCCTTCCCAGAAGAGTTGAAGCTGTTATAGCGGCAAAGGGTCGGTCAACTCAATATTGAACCCTATGGACTAAGACTAGGATGCCATTAAAGTTCATGTGCGTGTAAAGAGAGGCGTCCCAATACTTTGGCAATATTGTGTATTAAAGAAAGCCCTGAACTAGGGAATACACAGAAGGATAAGCCAACAAAGAGCCACAACCACATGAACTCTGTGAACTAACACAACAAGTTTCACATGACTGCATTCAGAAGGGATCTTTTTGCTAGGACTGACCATTCTGCTGTGAAGGCAGGACTTGTCAGGATGGCAAACAATTCTCTCTTGTATTGACTAAAAGAGTTGTTATTATTACATCCGGCTGTCTAGTCTAATTGCTTATGGACAGCCAAATAAAGAGACGAGCTGACAACTTGCTTCAAATTGCTCACTTTCCTGAAATGAATCTGTCTTTAGTCTGATTCAATGAACACATTCATTTTGTCTTCAAAAACTTGGTTGACAATATAAAAAGTAAAGCAGGTTTGTGGTTATTAGCCAGATGTGCTGGGGCTTAATGATTGGCACTTGAATGGTTTTCTACAAAACAGAGCAGCACGCCAAGAGCTACATTGAACATAAAGAAAATGAAGGAACAAAAAAATGTCAACAAGTGAAAGAAAAATAAGGAGAATGAACAAAGCAATAGGAAGTGGCTACCATACACTTACAGTATAATAACAACCTCTTGCTGACAATTGAATGGCTCTTTTCAAACATCCACGTGTCAAATGGAGAAGGAAAAATATAATGTTTTGCATTTGTATGGTAAGAACAGCATTTCCTGTGACTTGTATTTGGCTCCAGTAATGTGAGGGCACAGACACAAAAATCATGGCTGGGGTTATAAAGTTTTATTCATACAATCATTGTATGTTGTATGCACCTCCGAGACCATGGATTTGGGTCTTGGGAGCAGTATCCGTGTGCCAAAAACTGTGTCCCAAGTTAACAATAACATTCATAATACTCTCAGCACAGCAGAAATCACACAGCGACCCACAGGTTGAGAACCACTGGTATACGCCGTCAGAATAAAAAAAAATTACAAAAAAAAACCACCATAGGAATGCATAGCTAGATTCCTATTGGCTATTTCACTTTGCAATAGCCAATTGC